GCATATACTTTACTCTCACTGATTTACTTTATACATGCAGTTTATTTCTGTATTATGGCAGCTTTAACTCATTATTGAGAGCAAAAGCAAATGAACACAATTATATTAAAAGGATTCAGTTGAGAGATCAAAGAGAAGTAATGGAAGCAATGTTTACCTGGTTGCATTACCTCTAAAGTCCAGTACAGTGCAAGACTTTCCATCATATTCCTGGATAGCTGGGGAGGTCTCAGATGATAAGGCTGGTTGACCAATGTGACACATTGGGCCAAGAAGGTCACAAGGAGGATCCAGGGAACTACAGGCATCTCATCTTGACCTTGGTGCCTGACAAGGTTTTGGATCAGGTCATCTTGAGTGTGATCACGTGGCACATGACAACCAATGGATCAGAGCCAGCCACTAGGTGTTTAGGAAGAGCAGGTCTAGCCTGACTAGTTCCCTAATCTCCCTTTACTTTTTAAAAAAAAAAAAATTATTTCACAGATGTTGCCTTTATGAAAGACAACGGCGACCTGGTTCCAAGAAGACAGCATGGCAGCCCAGCCTGTCCGGGCCACTCGGGCTAACGACAAATACGCTGACACCAGTATGGTGGACGGTCGAAAGCCTTTATTATCTTATCTCATGGGTTTAAATAGTCTTGGGGGACTTTGCTACGTCAGAGGGGGGTTGTGGGGTCTCTAGGGTTAGTCGGGAGTGGAAAACTACTGGGTTAGGTGTGGTTACATGCTCTGGGGTTAATAGATAATGTGAAGCAGGGAGAAGGGGGAAGGGTCTCTCTTTCCGTCACATCCCGAGATCTTCCGTTCGCCTGTCCCTATCTACTACATCTCCCCTCCCCTTATCATATATAAAATGAGGTAGTCGTAGATATAGGCACTGGAGTGAGGTACAAACTTGTAACTTGGTAAGAAAAGGGTGGTTTGGTAAACCTGAGTAATTTTCGCAAGGCGAGTCTTGAAGGCTTTTGCGACTGACTGTGTTTGCAGTTTTTGGTTTACAGCATTTGTTGGTGGCCTATGAACAAAATGTTTGCCCTTTCTAGACGGGCCTGAACAAACGAGACTAGTTTGTTCAGCAGGCATGGTCCTATGGTAACAGCTAAAAGCAGTATTGCCAGTGGACCTACCAGGGCGGAAATTAGAGTGGTGAGCCAAGGTGATCGATTGAACCAGGATTCAAACCAGCTCTGTTGTGTTTCCCTGTCTCTCTTTCTCTGAGCCAGTCTATTTCGGAGTTCTGCCATGGAGTCTTTAACAACTCCCGTATGATCTGCATAAAAGCAGCATTCCTCTTTCAAGGCTGCACACAGTCCTCCCTGTTGCATGAACAAGAGGTCCAGTCCTCGCCTATTTTGTAAAACTACTTCTGAAAGCGAAGAGACTGATTTCTCTAGATAGGAGATGGATTTCTTGATCCTCTGCAGGTCTTTGTCGATGGTCATTTGCAGCTGAGAGAGTCCGTGCTGCTGGGTTGCAATGGCTGAGACACCCGTGGCTGTGCCAGCTGCTCCCAGGTCGAGCAGCATTGCGATGGTTATACCTGTGATTATTTCTCTTTTGTGGAGTCTGTCAGGTTCCTCGAGAAGATGGTATATCTCTTCGTCTGAGTGGTACAGGACCCTAGGAACAATCAGAACTTGGACACAGAAGTCGATAGAGTCATTAAATTTGGCAAGGAACACACAAGGACTCACTCTGGATCATTGGCAAACTCACATCCCAGATGCGGATGGGACCACCCACTTACTGGTTTTTCTGTTGGGCTTGACAACTTTAGTGCAGAAGTTGCCTATCTGCTTTGTTAAGGTTGCATTTCCAAAACATCTGCCCTGTCCTGTGATTTGACTCAGGGTGATTTCTCTGTGGGGAGTGTCCCATCTGCACTGGTGGGGGGCACTGGCTGTGGAGTAACTGAAGGGGGTGTTTAAAGCAATGCCTTCGTAGAAAGGGGGTTTAACATTATAGCAAAGCTAACAGGGGTTAGTCAGGTTCGATTTGGTTTCGTTTAGGGTTAGAAAGGTAGCTTCTAAACAGGTGGGCTATGTGGAACATGAAGGATGGGGTGTTTGCTGTGGTGACCTCTTTGAACAACTTGTCACTTGAAAGGTGTTACATGACCCACCTAAATGGCTGGTGAGGGTAGTGGCCTGGGTTGGCTTGTCCCCCGGCCACAAGCCCCAACAGCAAAATCGCACAGAGACACTGTGCATGTCTGGGTCTCACCGCCGTGGGATTCTCGGGTTTTGTCTGGCGGTTTGGTGGTTTGTCATCTCTCCCTGGAGCAGGGGTGTATGCGTCACGGGGACGGTCCACGAGCGTGTCCTGCAAACAAAAACTCACAGCTTTTCATTAGTTTTGTTCTGAAGGTCAGGTATGATTGACTTGAGTGGACACCACCTTATTCTGTTCTCATTTCTATATGAAGCATTATAGCTATAAATTGGGTGCTTTTCCAAGCTCGGGATGGCCCTCCCACTCTGTTCACTGGAGGGACTTCTTTGCATTGCCAGTGTCAGGGCCACAGGGCTTGGGGCAAGATCGAGCAGTCTGCTCCTGTGTCTGCCTAAAACTGAAGCCCTATTACGTGGGGGTCCTGACTGCCATAAAGGCGGCATGTCCCCCACACCCTTGGGGGTTCCTTCCCTATTTTCAGGGCCAGGGCCACCCAGGGGTCCCGTTCTGGGGCGTCCCCTGCTGACCCTACGACACAGGCGCTGCTTGCGGTGGTAGTGGGTATGAAGGTACCGCGGGCTGTGTTGCAGGACTCTGCAATTGTGTCGCTGTTGGGGGTATGAAGCTGGCTGCCTCCTGTGGTGGTATGGGGTATAAGGGCTCCCCGCCCCACTGGGGGTTGGCATAGGTGGGCCGCTTTGTATTCCCGGCAGGAGGAGGCTGGGTGCAGCCCGCACGTCTCCTCCCTGTCCCGTTTTCCTGGGGCCGGGACCCGCATTCCTTGGCGAGATGCCCTTTTCTCCCGCAGCCCCAAAAGGATGTTTCTCCCCAGCTGGTAAACTGGGCTGTTTCGTATTGTAACCGCTTTTCAGTGCGGCTTAGAGCTTTACTCGGTTTTGTCTTAAATCGCATTGGCTCTGTTTTGTCCGTCTCAGAGTTCCAGCCGGTTCCCGTCAGCTCTTCCGAGCTGGCGGAGCTGCTGCCGGGCTCCGAGTCGGAAGTCGAATGCCAGCGCACTTCCGGGCCTCGGTGCCTTTTTGTCCGGCTCCGAGCTCGCTTCTCCCCGCGGGGGTGGTGCCGCTCCCGCCCCCCCGAACTTGCCCTGCCTCCTGCAGGGGGAGGTCTCTCCCTTATATGGTAGCTGTGTCAGGCGTGGCTGCCGATTGGCTCCCTGCTCTCTGCCGCCCTCCTCCTCCTTCTCTCGTGCACGCGCGTCTCTGAAATCGCGCGCCTCCTGGGTTTTCGCGACGAGTCTGCCCGCGCCCCGCCCCTCTCCTTGGCGGCCAGCGCCATTTTAAAAGGGGTAAGGTGGCGGCGTGGTCTCCCGAGCCGCGGTTTCGGCGCCTCTGGCTTCCCCCGCCAGCTCCTGCCAGAAGCACTCTGCACGCTGCTGCAGCTCCGGCAATGGGTCCCTGCCTGGCGGCGGCGGGACAGACGGGGAAGCCGCGGTTTTTCGGGGGGCTTCTGTGGCGGGGGTTGGCCTCTGGCCCGGGGAGGGGGGTGATGGGCCGGGCCCCCCCGGGTCTCTGCTCCTGGGCGGATCGTTCTCAGGAACGGTCTGCGCTCCCGCCCCCACCCCGAGCCCGGGTCTAGCTAATAAACACGCAAGTGCCGCACTCCGCATCTCCTGCTCTTCTATTGCTCTGCGCGGGGCTTTCTCTACTTTGCCCCATGCCTTAAGGCTCTTGCCACTGCCTGAGGATTTCGTGTCCTCAGCCAGCGTGGCTGTGCATTTTTCCCATATTCCCGGATGCATAGCATCCACTGGGCTTTCAGTCGCCCCAAGCTCAAGCAGCCTCACTATAGCAAGATAAAAGTCTTTGAGCTTACACTCGAGACTCCATTGCTTATAAATCACACTTACGACCCTGGCGATGCTGTCCATGACGCTCGCGGGTCCTGGGACATCTCCCTGTGCCAAGATACGGTCTGACCGCTCTGGCTGCTGCCCTTGTCCAGGTGTATCCCGTTACCCGAGCAAATTTCTCTTCTTCCCGGGTTTCGACACCAGATTTGTTACCTTTATGAAAGACAACGGCGACCTGGTTCCAAGAAGACAGCATGGCAGCCCAGCCTGTCCGGGCCACTCGGGCTAATGACAAATACGCTGACACCAGTATGGTGGACGGTCGAAAGCCTTTATTATCTTATCTCATGGGTTTAAATAGTCTTGGGGGACTTTGCTACGTCAGAGGGGGGTTGTGGGGTCTCTAGGGTTAGTTGGGAGTGGAAAACTACTGGGTTAGGTGTGGTTACATGCTCTGGGGTTAATAGATAATGTGAAGCAGGGAGAAGGGGGAAGGGTATCTCTTTCCGTCACATCCCGAGATCTTCCGTTCGCCTGTCCCTATCTACTACACACAGAACATTATGAGTTGGCAGGGACCCACAAGTATCATTGAGTCCAATTCTTTTTTACAACTAGGTGACCCACTTTGTAAATGTGGGAAAGGCTTTGGATGACTTCAAAGGCTTTGGCTTGACTTCAGCTAAGCCTTTGACAGTCTCCTGACAGAATCATCCTGGAAAAGCTGGCAGCCCATGGCTTAAATTGGTGTGCTCTTTATTCAGTTAAGAACTGGCTGCACAGCTTGGTCCAGAGTGTGGTGGTGAATGGTGCGGTGTGGGATTCCTTAAAATCAGAGGGTTTTGGGCACATTGCAAAAGGCAGGCCTCAGAGAGAGCAGGATGGAAATTAAAGCTAAGCAGTAGCTATAAGATTTGTCAGCAGAAAACTTATAAAAGAAGTAGAAAAAAAGGACAAATTGAACAATAGTCTGCGTATTAACGCTTGGGTAGAATAACTCCTAAGTTGCAGAAAAGTATATCTGGTGAGATATTAGGAAGGTCTAAGCTTAATAATGGAGCTCTGTGCATTGTATCTCGAGGCTTACAAGCAAGTATTGTATTCAAAATAAACAAGTATTGTTTTAACTAAAGGTATGCGTGCTTATAGTGATTGGATACAACTACTGTCAATATGCTTTTGCTTTGTGTGACTGGTCAAAAAGTTTATAAAGTAAGTTGTAACATTAAGTTCTTGATCTGTTGCCTGGATGTGAGCTGCTGGCATCTTCCCATTGTCATAACCATATAATGAGACTGATGCTAAAAAATAAACAGCTCTAGACGCATACCACAGCAGTCCCGTCCCGTTCGCGACTTGTATTTAGCCCCCGACAGGCGATAAATGGTGCCCCATGTGAGGATTGAACTCACGACCTTCAGATTATGAGACTGCAGGTTCCCTCACAGGGATTGGAGGTGCTACTGTGTGTTTGCAAAATGCATCCATGATTAACATTACAGGTCCTGAAGGAAAAACAGTAACAGTGTGTCCTTTTGTTGTTCAGAAGCCTCTTACTGTCTAGGGAAAAGATGTCCTATCCCAGTGGGGAGCAAAACTGGAAGTAAGCCTGTGATGGGAACCAATTCAAAACCTGCCACTTGAAAGTTGAACTGGAAAATTGATCATCCTATATGGATTGATCAATGGCCTTTAACAGAGAAAAAATTAAATATTCTTTAAAAATTACTAAAGGAACAATTACAGCAAGGTCCCATCACTCCCAAGAACAGCCCCTTGAATTCACCAGTATTCATCATCCATAAGAAGACATCAGACTCCTGGAGGTTGCTTCATGATCTGAGAAGAATCAATGAAATGATTGAAGACATGGGACCTCTTCAACCTGGACTTCCTTCTTTATCAATGATCCTGAAACATTGGCCACTTGTTGTCATTGATTTAAAGGACTGTTTTTTCCACATCCCACTTCATCCTGATGACGCTCCAAGATTTGCCTTTTCTGTTCCAGTCATCAATAGAAGAGGACCTATGCAGAGATAACACTGGAAATCATTGCCTCAATAAATGAAGAATTTGCCTATAATTTGCCAATATTTTATTGCACAGGTATTGTCTTCAGTTCGACAGAAGTATTGCAGATCCGTTATTCTACACTACATGGATGGTTTGCTCATTGCTGCTCCAACACTACCAGAGATGGAGCAAACTCGTGCTAGTGTTGTTACTGAAATCCAAAATGCTGGACTTGAAATTTCTATAACCAAAATTCAAGAAGTTCCACCCTGGAAGTATCTAGGATGGAAGATGACTGAAAAAACAATTACACCTCAAAGGATACAGCTCTGGACCAGTGTCAACAATTTACAAGATTTACAACAACTTCTAGGAGAAATCAATTGGGTTAGACCTGTTTTGGGAATTACCAATGATGAACTGGGTCCGCTTTTTGATTTGCTGAGAGGAAGTTGTGACATCAACTCTCCTAGAACTCTAACACCTGAAGCTTGTGCAGCTCTTGACAAGGTCATGGAAGCTCTCCAAAGACGACAAGCTCATTGCTGTGTTCCGGAAAACCCTTTCCTTTTTGCCATTTTGGGAGAAAAAATGCAACTTTGTGGTCTCATTTTCCAATGGGACCCTTCTGAGAGAGATCCTTTGTTGATAATAGAATGGGTTTTTCTTCCCTATAGGTCTCCTAAGACTATTTTTACAGTTCTAGAGATGATAGCACAAATTGTAATTAAGGCTAGAACAAGATTGTTAACTTTAGCAGGTCAAGAATTTGCAGTTATCTATTTACCATTGAAAAAAGATTATCTTGATTGGGCAATGCAAAATTCTGATGATTTACAATATTCATTATTGAATTTCCCAGGTATTTGTTCTGTTTGTTACCCAGCTCACAAATTATTACAAGCAAAATTGAGTTTTAGAGGAAAAACCTATGTTAAGTGAAGAACCTTTAGATGCAATAACTCTCTTCACTGATGGATCTGGCAAAAGTCACAAATCGGTAATAACCTGGTTTAAGCAAACAACTAAAGCTTTGGAATCAGACATCCAAATAGTAGAAGGATCTCCTCAAATTGTTGAACTTGCTGCTGTGGTTCGGGCTTTTCAGCTCTTTCCACAAGCTTTTAATTTAATTACAGATTCTGCTTATGTTGCTAATGTGGTTAAAAGAATAGAAGGATCAGTTTTAAAGGATGTTAGTAATGATACTTTATATCGTTGGCTTTCATGTCTTTATACAACTTTGCAATACAGAACTAATCCATATTTTGCTTCTCACATTAGGGCTCATTCTTCGCTTCCTGGATTTCTAGTGGAAGGAAGCGCGAGAGCTGACAAATTGATAATGGCTATTCAAACACTCTACCAAACATTTTTGAACAAGCGAAATCGGGTCATGCCTTTTATCACCAAAATGCTCAAGCACTTGTGTGAATGTTTCAAATTTCCAGAAGTCAAGCCAAGGCTATCATTAGTGCTTGTCCTGACTGTCAGCATGTGCAGCCTCCTGTTTCTACAGGAGTGGTCAACCCGTGAGGCTTGCAAAACCTGCAGTTATGGTAAACAGATAGCACTAAATATCCTTCTTTTGGTAAATTTAAAAATATCCATGTTTCAGTGGACACTTTCTCTGGTGAAGTTTTTGCTTCTCTTCACACAGGTGAAACAGGTAATCATCCCTGTCACCATTTTTACAAGCTTTTGCTTCATTGGGTGTGCCCCAAGAAGATAAAGCCGACAATGGTCCCGCATATATATCTCAAAATCTTGCCACATTTTTCAAAAAAGATTGGGGTGTTCACCACATCTTTGGTATTCCTCATTCTCCCACAGGTCAAGTGATTGTCAAGAAAGCACATCAGACATTAAAACGCATACTTGATCAACAGAGGAGAGGAATGGAGGCTACACCACAGATGAGGTTGAACAAAGCTTGATATGTTTTTAATTTCTTAAACAACTGTTACAGAACACATCCACCAATTTTTAGACATTTTTCAAATAACACACACACAAAATTGAAAGAAAATCCCCTTGTTTTAATTAGAAATCCTGAGACAGGACAAATTGAAGGTCCTTTCTGATTAATCACTTGGGGCAAAGGGTATGCTTCTGTCTCTACAGGTGCAGGAATTAAGTGCGTCCCTGCGAAAAATGTCAAACCGTATCACTCCCAAGAAAGTGTTGACGAATTCAAGACTGTAGAAGCAAGTACGCAGACGTGAGCTGAACAGAGAGATCGCGGGTCACACCTAGTGTTCCTTGTTCATCGGCGGAACCTACAATCTTCTGATTTTATGCTCTTTATAGATGTGTAAATTGTTGGTTTCGTAGAGTTCTTTTTGGCAAAAAACGGGGTTTTTGTTTGTTATGTTATAGCTCCTCTCTATTGGATTTTCAAAGGTGAAATTTTATTTTAAGGTCAAAAGCAACATTTCTGAATTGGTATATATGGGTGGAATTTTTGCCAAAATTGAATGATATGCTGGTATTGGTTGGGTTTAATTGCTTTTTGCTGTGCAGATTTGCCTGCGGAACAACAAAAAAAAAAAAAGTTTGGGTGACCTTAGCCAAGGCAGCAGGCTTCGATACCATATGCTTGTCTAATCTGGAACCGGAAAAGCCTTTCTCAACCTGCCTAGTTGGTGTGCCAGTAAAGACTTTGCCCTTGGTCAAAAAAACAATTCAATAGAAGTGAAAATGACAGTGGGGGTGATCCTGTATTGAATATGGCTATTTGGGTCAAAGAACTTCCCAAGGCAGTGTCTGAACCCCAAGAATTAGAAATACTTGGTTCTTTAACAATGGATTTTTGCATTACATTTACAGCTAATGACTGGCGAGAAGGTGATCCTCCAAAGTACAGTGTTACTCCCCATTACTCTGCATACAGGAATTTGAGTTTTTGGTGCAATTATTCAGACAACCGGGATGTGTTTTCCAGGGAGGACCAATATCCACAACAATTGCCAAAAGGATATTGGTTCATTTGTGGAGATACGCTTGGCAGGGCATTCCATCACGCCTTGAAGGTGGCCCGTGTAGCATTGGAATGCTCACTGTGATAGCACCTACAGCTAAAGCGGTCCTTAAGAAGAAGAATAGGGGGACAAGATCTGCTCGTTACTATGATGAGAAGTGTAAGAGTGCTTTCAGGCCTTGGAATGCTGGGAAAAGGGTTTCAGCAAGCTTGTTTTTACCCTAACTGGCTTCAGCAGTGGCATTGAAACAATTAGATCGGGTTGGATGTCGGCTGGGTAAACAAACTAATGCCACATCCACTGCCATCAGTGATATGCTGACAGATGTTAACCGTGTTAGACATGCCACTCTTCAAAATAGAGCAGCAATTGATTTTCTTTTACTGGCACATGGACATGGTTGTGAGGAATTTGAAGGATTGTGTTGTATGAATCTGTCAGATCATTCTTAATCCATCCACAAAAGCATACAAAAGCTAAAGGATTTCACAGCTCAAATTAAAGAAGATGGTGGATCATGGTTAGATAACTTGTTCCAAGAATGGAGTTTTGAACCTTGGCTAAGAAATCTTTGTAAAATATGTTTATATACGTTAGGCATTTTAGTTATGATACTCATAGTAATACCTTGCATACTTCGGTGTATATGACATGTGATGGACAAAGCTATCAAATAAGTTTTTATCATACAAGAGAGAGAGGTAGGAAATGGATTCACAGTGAGTTCTCGACACTCTTACAGGGTTAGTGGATGAAGGTAGAGAGATGGAGGAAGGTTTTGAACTAAGACCTTGGAACTGGCAAGACTTTTTTGAACAATGACTTGTAATTGCTATCAAACATGACTTATGTGCTTTGAATTGATTAGACCTTCACAGCATTAAATTTGCTGTGTTGTAATATAGCTATGCTTAATGCGAGCAAAAATGATGCTTTAAGCAAGTAATGAGCAGATATATTGTAGGAAAGCTATGAAATGCAAGGCAGTTAATAATCGACAAGATTATGACAGTTTCTTTTAGTTCAACCGAGAGGGGGAATTGTGGGATTCCTTAAAATCAGAGGGTTTTGGGCACATTGCAAAAGGCAGGCCTCAGAGACAGCAGGATGGCGATTAGAGCTAAGCAGTAGCTATAAGATTTGTCAGTAGAAAAATTATAGAAGAAGTAGAAAGAAAGGACAAATTGAACAATAGTCTGCGTATTAACGCTTGGGTAGAATAACTTCCTAAGTTGCAGAAAAGTATATCCGGTGAGATATTAGGAAGGTCTAAGCTTAATAATGGAGCTCTGTGCATTGTATCTTGAGGCTTACAAGCAAGTATTGTATTCAAAATAAACAAGCATTGTTTTAACTAAAGGTATGCCTGCTTATAGTGACTGTATAGAACTACTGTCATTATGCTTTTGCTTTGTGTGACTGGTCAAAAAGCTTATAAAGTAAGTTGTAACATTAAGTTCTTGATCTGTTGCTGGATGTGGGCTGCTGGCATCTTCTCATTGTCATAACCATGTAATGAGACTGATGCTAAAAAATAAACAGCTCTAGATGCATACCACAGCAGTCCCGTCCCGTTCGTGACTTGTATATATCCCCCGGTCGGTGATAGTGCTGTATCCAATTGGTGGCTGCTCACTAGTGGCGCTCCCCAGGGATCAGTGTTGGGCTCAATCCTGTTTAACATCATGGTCTGAATGAGAGGATTGAGTGTACCATTAGCAAATTTGTGGATGACACCAAACTGGGGAAGAGCACAGATCTGCTGGAGGGCAGGAAGGCTCTGCAGAGGGATCTGGACAGGCTAAATCGATGGGCCAAGGCCAAATGTGCGAAGTTCAATAAGGCCAGGTGCTGGGTCCTGCCCTTGGTCACAACAACCCTATGCAGAGATGCAGACTGGAGGAACAGTGCCTGGAAGGTGGCTCAGGAGAAAGGTGGGGATTGGGGTGCTGGTCAGCAGCAGCTAACCATGAACTGGTGTGTGCCCAGGTAGCTAAGAAGGCCAAAGGCATCCTGGCCTATATCTGAAATTATGTGACCAGCAGGAAAAGGGAGGTTATTCTTCCATTGTACATGGCACTGGTGAGGCCACAGCTTGAGTTCTATATCTTGAGTGCTACCTGTTTGACTTTTCCAGAATCAGAAAATCAACTGATCTTCGAGCAAAAAGTCTACAGGATAGTGTAGTACTGATCAGAAGTAAAATGACATCCAGGGAGCTTACATGACAGGCCTCTATAATACATTTTGGGTTCAAAACACCCTGCAAATCTGGCATGTTTGATTTGGAAATCAATATTTCTTTGCCTTAATGACTTCAGTAACAGAGTAACTACAAACTATTACTTCTGAAGGAACATTAAAAATATCAAAGCAATTAAAGGAAGTGTGAAATAAGCATACCGTGCAGAAAAACAGCCCTTCTTATTTACTTATTACTTATCTTGCTGTTCAGGGAACACCTGCTATTCAGAACTACCTACTGATTTTTTTCTTTTCAGTTAAATTTTGCAATGTGTTTTGTTTTTAGGGGAAACCAAAGACTGAACTGAAAGGAAACAATTATGCAACTATATATTTTTGAACCAGAAGTTAAATCTTTGCTACAGGAATATTTAGAAGAGGCACTTCTAGAAATTCTGAAGACCTAGCTGAAGACATGAATACAGATGCAAGTTAGTGGCAGAATGGTCAGGAAGCAGAATTGAAGTGCCAGCCTTTCAATACTTAAATTTCAGACCTTTGAAAAAATGATGGAGGCTTAAATGATTCAATACATGAGAAACTACATTTATTCTTAATACAGAATATGTTACAGAATGTTCTATGTCTTGTATTTCATAAACTTTTGACAAACTCAAGATTTTTCCATTTTGTAGTGAAATAATCAGTGATTGATTGGAGCAGTCGGAATACTGAAAGAACATGAGGTAATAATGCATGCTCAGATGAAAGATTTCAGCAATTTTGGTCAGTGAACAGTTCAGTGTGGGCCTGGAGATGCTTTCATCCATAGACTGGTTTGCTTCTTCAATATTTTGCTCTAGTAAAACAGCGGAATTAGAGCAGTTGAAGAAAGCAGTGTATGGAAAATAATTAATAGGAAGAGGGTTTGAATGGGAAGATGGTTTAATTTTGAGTGGCTACTCACCTGTCCTTGTAACGGAAAGAGAATCTTTCAAAGATATTTAATTGTAGCAAACTGCTAAATAATATCCAAAGAGATCTTTTTCATTTACTATGCTGTCAGACTGTGGAAATCATTACCCAAGAGTTATTAAAGATCAGAGCACACCAAGATTAAAAAATTGTAAAACATTTTATGTTTGATATTTGGGAAGACCTCATGTATGAAATACCCCTTATAATGCTTCCTTCTCCTTAGTAATTCACAAGTTGCTCTAAAAAGACCAGGCACCTAGCAGACCAAACTAAACATATATGCTTTGTCTCTATAGGCTGAAAAACAGGTACGAATTAAAGGATCAGAAACTTTAATGATGAATCAGGAGGTATTTTGGGAGATCCCAATTCTCAGTAGCCTCATGCTATTTATTACAACTGTTTCTTTAGCTTTATGCAGTTTTCCTCTCAAACCTCTGATTACTCTAATCATAATTTTCTGCACATTTCTGATTTTTCAGGTCTTTTTTAAGCGCAAATTATTTGAATTGGGTACCACTTGTATAATACCACAATTGGATACTACAAATTATACCAACTGGATACCAAATACTGTTGTATTTTTCTGGGAAATGGTTTTTCCCTCCCCAGAGACCCCTGTAGCTGTGACCATGTTAGTTTGACCACTTCCTTCCTTTCCTCACCCAGTCGGCTGCGAGCCAAGTAGCCCTCCTGGTCCTGAGCCTAGATGAGGCTCTGTCCCTTCCTGGTTCGCTCTTTCCCTCTTCCTCCCATGGAATAAACATCTTGTACCACATCGGGGGTTGGAGCCTCTTTTGGAATCTTTGCCTTGCTCCTGAAATACTTTCCCCCAAGGCCTCACAGATCTGGGCTAGCCGGTAACTTCGGGGGGCTGCGGGGGGAAGGATACTTCAGTTGGCTGCCAATGTGGTTTTAATGAAATATTAAAAGCCCACGGAGAAGCTGGAGCCCTTATTTGAAGGTCTCAAAAGCTCTTTGGGAAGTTCAACTACCCTGTGCTTATTAGCTGCTTTTGGGGTGGCTTGGAGTGATGGGGGTGGGTCGGGACCTTACCTCAGCACCAAGGAAAGCCGACCCGGAGCACGGACTCCGGCCACTGCTACAAGACACCCACAATCCAAAACGAGTGGTAAGACCCGTCGCATACGGTTTATCCCGGGAAAAACCCCTAGCTGGGGGGAGGTGTTACCATAGAGACTGTGGAAACTGCAGCTCGGGTAAGCTAGGACCCAGCAGTCGAAGTTTGTAACAATGGGCGGGCTTATGCGAGTTTTTCTTCGGATCGAAGCTCAGTGGCGGTGGAGCCGCCCCGACCGACCGACAGAGCTCGCGTTTCGGGGGTGGGGACAGCACGGGATGGGCACCTAAAGCCGGGAAGGCGGTGGGATATCTCTCCCCTGCCCCTGGTGAGCCAGAAAAGCGGCGGCAGCTGCCGCGTCTCGGCACCCGCAGCTTCTCTCCCCACCCCCGCCCCCGCTCCCTGTGCTCTCTGTGCAAGCGGGGAAAATCGTGCTGCTTTGTCTGGAGGCAAATACTGGAGATATAAAGTTTAAAAAATGGGCGTAGAGTTATCAGTCCAGCAAAAGAGTACATTAAAACACCTTAACAATATTTAAATTAATGTTACATTCCCAAATAAACTCCTAGTTCACTTTGGCTGCTGGCTGACAGTTGAATTACCAAATTATACCGTTCAAGATATGAATTCCGTTTCATTTTGGGATCAAATTGGACAGTTACTGGAGATCATAAAGCTTCTTTTTATTCCAATATTTTTACAAGCTCGAAAACAGATTTTAGAAGTGGAAAAAAGCATACAGACAAAGAGTCCGAATAACCCTTTTCCAGATTCTGCTGTACCTCCACAGTACCCGGGTCCTGAAATCGGACCATCCTCCCTGTACCCTTCTATCACACCTGTTTCTTCTCAAGAATACAGCCCTGAATGCTCCAAAGGCGAAATGCTCTCGTCCCAGAGCCCTGGCGATTCGTCAGGGTCCCTGAAAACTGCAGAACACATACTGCTGAGCAATGGAGGATGCCACGTGCTTCCTTCTTCTTGCCATAGTCCTCCTTCCCCCATCCCCTCCCCGACCCCATATCCCCACCCGAATCCCTTCGTGCCTTCGGCAGCCCCGCCCCGTCCTTCCTCCCAGTGCCCTCCTCCGAGCTGCCACGGGAGCAGGGGAGGGGCCTGTCACTTTCCAGCCGAGCCGGAGGATGGGGGGGGGGGGGGGGGGGCGGATGGCGGGGGGCGGGGCGGGGAGAGGAAAGCCCGGCACACGGGGGACATGAGCTGCTCCTCTGGGGAACCCGGGAAAGGGATACAGAGATGCCTCTTACCAGGCCCCAATGGGTGGGGGAGGGAACACCTCCTGCCTCTTTGGGCACTGGAAGAGAAGCAGAATTTTAAGCAACTTAGAAAAATGTTGAAGAAAGCATACTGTCTGTAGCACCTGTTGTATATATTAGTAAGAGAAATGGTATTAGGGCTTACCAACCATTACCCTATAGAGATAAAATGGAGATCTGAGAAATACAGAGAGAATTTGGAAGATTGAGCAAGATTTTCAAAGGGATGATGAGGGCAACCTTTAATTCAAATGAGATGGGACCCAGGGATATGAAATATTTGTTTAGATGCGTGTTGACTCCCGCAGAATATGATCTGTGGGAAGGCAAATGGAAAGTGCCCTTAACAGTAGCATTACAGGAGATTCAACAAACTCCTGGTGAAGCACATGACAATGACAGTAATTCTATTACAAAAGACCACCTGTGAAGTGAAGGTGACTGGCACTGTCCAGAAAAACAAACTTGAGTGTTATCTAAGTCAGTTTTAGATAAGATCTGTAATGCTGCAGAAAAAATGTTTTATCAGCTACAAAAATTGAAGCTAAGGGCAGTTACCTTAACATTAACTAATTTTCTTCTGAGAATTCCTTACAGTTTGTGGACCATCTAAGAATACAAGTGGAGAGAAAAGTACAAGATCCAGTGGTGCAGGCAGATTTGATTAAAGAAATGGCTCAGAGGAATGCTAATGAGACATGTCATACAATTATTCTCAGCCTTCCCCTTGACCCAACACCTAGTCTTTCAGAGATGATAGAAACCTGCACCAGGAAAGCAGAACTGTTCAGTACTCCTGACAGAAATACAGGGTCAGCATATCCCCAGCCTGCAGCAACTGCGGTACCAGATCCAAGGAGGCAACCAATGTCACCAGAGCAGCCGCATCATCTGTTTCCATTGCAAGAAACCAGGACATTTCACCAGAACCTGCCCTTTAAATAAGAAACATAAAAAGTTCAACAAACAAAAAAATTGCATTTACAGCGCGTTCCCACTGCTAATACAACTACACGCGAAGATACAAATATAGTGGGACCCACACAGGCAAATGTCTCTCTCTCAACAAATAAGGGGGAGGACAGGACCCATGGTGGGGGGGCAGAAAAATAAAAATGTTAAATGTTTAACTAACAAGATTTGGCAGCCGCTAGGCTGAACTCAACTTGTGACTACCAGAAGTTTTCATTTCAGATCCACTGATTGGGAAGTCATTATAGTGGACCCGTCAAACATCTCACAGAACCTGAAGGTGTATCACATGGGACTGGACAGTGAGTATTTTATTAGTGGGGACACATCACACATACCCTTGGAGATTGAGGTAGCTCCCATGACTACTAAGGGAAAAATAACAGACCTTATGTTGTTGGCATGCTGCATGCACCCACCACATTACCTGGAAAAAGGACAAATTCTGGCCCAAGCCATTCCTATTCCAGCAGAAATCACAGCAGAAGGAAAATCACTGGAAGTCTACTGGGCAGAGGTGGTGGGAGAGGATAAACCCTCGATGGCATGCAACCTACCCCTTGGGTCAGAGCGCCTCCATGTGGAAGGGGTTCTAGACGTGGGCATAGACATCACAGTAATACCTAAGACCATGTGTCCATCACATTGGGAATTGCAAGCTGTAGTTGGCAAACTTCAGGACATAGGAGGAACCACATTGGCAAAGCTTTCAAAAAGCATTGTTCAAATTGAGGGACCTGATGAAAAATTGGCAAGTGTTTGTCCATTTGTTGCACACTATAAGGCCCCACTGTGGGGGAGAGACACCACGTCCCAGTAGGGAGTCCAATTGGTCATTCCTAAGACACCCCAGGATTTTTGGAATTAGCCGCTGTGGAGCTCCCTACCCACAAGTTAAAGTGGTTGGATAACACCCCAAAGTGAGTAGCACAGTGGCCTCTGAGTAAAGAGAAGCTCAAGGCACTTGAGGAGGTCATGGAGGAACAATTGGCTCAAGGACACATACAGGAGAGAGATAACCCTTGGAATTTCCCAGTCTTTGTAATAAAGAAACTGGGGAAGGAAAAGCAGAGGCTGATCTCCAAAAAATAAACAAATTATAGAGGACATGGAACCACTCCAACCAGGGATGTCTAGTCCAACAATGCTCCCTCGAGATTGGCAATTGGCTGTCCTAGATATTAAGGACTGCTTCTTCCAAATTCCATTGCACCCTGAAGATGCCCCAAGGTTTGCATTCTCGGTTCCCACCATCAATCGAGAAGCCCCAGTAAAATGCTATCACTGGAAAGTTTTGCCTCAAGGTCTAAAATCCAGTCCTTTCATATGCCAATGATACGTAGCCTCACTAATGTCTCTGGTACTCGCAGAGAGAAAGGATGCCATCATCCTTCACTACATGGATGATGTGCTTGTGTGTGCCCCCAGTGACTCTACACTCCAACACACGCTTGACTTAGTGGCTAAGGTTTTAATCTCTGCTGGAGTTCAATTGCAGGAAGACAAAGTTCAAAGGATGCCATCTTGGAAATGCCTGGGTTTGGAAATCTCTGCAAGGACTATTGTCCCTCAGAAACTGGAGATCAATTGCAATCCCAAAACACTAGCAGACCTCCACTCTTTGTGTGGGTCTTTGAATTGGGTAAAACCATAGCTAGGTCTCACAAATGAGGATCTAGAAACTCTCTTCAATTTATTGAAGGGGGAGAGGGAGCCGGCCTCCCCCAGGGAACTGACCCCAGAGGCAAAGACAGCAATCGAAAAGGTACAGAAGGCCTTGTCAGAGAGGCAAGCACATTGGTGTAACCCAAATGTGCCTTTCCAATTCATTGTTCTAGGAAAGCTGCCACATTTGCATGTCTTGATTTTCCATTGGATCAAGGCACAGAAGGATTCATTCTTGATCATGGAGTGGGTCTTCCTCTCCCACCAAAGATCCAAGACCATCACTAAGCCACAAGAGTTGATATCTCAGCTGATTCGGAAGGCCAGGATGAGACTGTGTGAACTGGCTGGTTGTGACTTTGCATATATTCACCTCCCAGTAAGACTTGCTGAGGAGGGAAAGAACTCTCCAGAGATTGACCAACGGGGTGTTTGAGCATTATATATCAGTCCATGCCCCATCTCACAAGTTGTTCGATGAGGAATTCCACCTTATTCCTTGAGAGAAAAGGAGCCGGAGGGCACTCAAGGCTCTCACAGTGCTCATGGATGCATCAGGGGCTTCCTACAAGTTGGTGATGACTTGGAGAAATCCACAGACTCAGCACTGGGAAGCCGATGTTGAGTTTGTGGAGGGATCCCCCCAGGTGGCGGAACTGGCTGCAGTGGTGAGAGCTTTTGAGAGGTTCTTGGAACCAATCAGTTTGGTTACAGACTCTGCCTACGTGGCAGGGGTAGTGTCCAGGGCAGAGCAGGCTGTGCTCAAAGAAATAGAGAATGAACATCTCTTCAGATTGCTCTCAAGGCTGATTTATTTAATCTCTCCCCAAGAGCATCCATTTTATGTGATGCATGTGAGGTCACACACTGGTCTGCCAGGTGAGATTGCAGAGGGGAATTGCCAAGCAGACTCCCTTGCTGCACCAGTTGAAAAAGCACGTGTCCCTGATGTTTTCCAACAGGCAAAGCTGAGTCACCAGCATTACCATCAGAATGTGCCAGGTTTGATTCGACAGTTCCAGCTAACACGTAGTCAAGGCTCGAACCCTTGTGACCAACTGTCCCAACTGCCAGCTCCAGGCCGTGCCCTCGTTGGGCACGGGGGTAAACCCCTGGGGCCTTGGCAGCTGTGAGGTGTGGCAGACAGACATCATGCACAATCAAAGTTTTGGTCGCCTCAAATATGTTCATGTAAGCATTGACACATTCTCGGGTGCAGTGTATGCCTCTGCCCATGCAGGACAAAAGACTGTGCGTGCCAAACAGCACCTAGTGCAAGCTTTTTCAGTGTTGAGGATCCCAAAAACAGTCAAAACTCATAATGGCCCAGTGTATGCATCCAAGGAGCTCCTGGAATTTGTCCAACAGTGGGGAGTGGAACATGACTGGCATCCCTCACTCCCCCACAGGTCAAGCTGTGGTCAAGTGTGCACACCAGACGCTCAAGCAGGTCTTGGATAGACAGAGCAGTTCAACTGTGTGGATGTCTCCACAACAGAAGCTCTGTAAAGCCATGTTTACCCTTTCTGAACTGTTCATTTGAAAACATGAGTCCATCAGTGGTACGTCATTTTAACAGTGGCAATCAGTTCAAATTGTCTCAGTGTCCACCGGTCTTGATTAGGGATCCAGAAACTTCGTAAACCAAGTGTCCCTATGAGATTGTGACCTGGGGTCATGGCTATGTGTGTGTGACTACTTCCTCAGGCCCTCAGTGGATTCCCCAGAAGTGGGTGAAACCTTTTGTCCCCAAAAATCCAGCTCAAGCAGAAGGGGATGGAAAGCAAGTAGCCGATGCTTCAAAGGGAAGATGCCACTGGCTGGAAGAAAGAGAATTTTCCTAGGTGTGAAGTCCTTCTGGCAGAAACAGAAACTTTTAACATGTTTTAAAAATGTTTGTTTTTCCTTTTAGAGAAAAACCACCTCACACTCAACCTTGTGATGAACCCCATCCAAGTTGTCATCTTGCTAATGCTGAACAGTCTGGCAGCTGCATGGATCGTCCCTCAGCTGTGTCAAAATGTCTGGGTGACCCTGGCACAGACACTTCAGCAGGAAAACATTTGTTTGTCCACAGCAGCAGCAAAGAATGCTATGTCCACCTGTCTGGTAGCAATTCCATTGCAGGCTGGAGAATTTCCAGCAGGGTTGGACAAATACA